AAGTAAACGGGTCATATCAGGCCAGTCCTTTCTTTCTGTAAAAGCATTTTGCTGTAGCCTTTTCCTGTGCTAAAACAGGTGTTTGTTTTGTTTTCCTGTTCCAGGCTACCCACCCTTCTGTTCCGAGACGCCACAGGAAACTTACAGGAAGGTCATGAACTGGCGAGAAACGCTAATTTTCCCCCCTGAAGTCCCCATTTCAGAGAGAGCCAAGGACTTGATCCTTAGGTCAGAGATATTTCCATATATGTAACACAAACCGTATAGAAGAAAGGATTCGATTAACAATTCGGAAAAACAAAACATCATTGGGCTTTTGAGGTTAAAGTGATTGTTTCCCTCAAGTAAAGAGTGCCACCGTTTTCAAAAGATAGCTTTTCATTACTTGAGATCATTTGAAATTTGATCTGACCAAACTGTTTGACTATGTTCTCAGGTATTGCACAGATGCAGAAAACAGGATTGGGTCAGGAAGTGTGGATGAAATCAAATCTCACCCTTTCTTTGAGTCCGTGGACTGGGAGCATATCAGGTACTTCTGCACACACACTTTTCTGTTTCTTGCGTCGTCACAGTATCGTCTAGAACGGCAAAACCACTGTTAATAAAATTTTTATTTTGGAAACGTTTATGTAATCAAGTCTTTTGCGTGTATGATCATAGAGAACCATTGTTTGAAGTTGATAACTGAAATTGAACTGTTTACCTTCTCCCAGAGAGAGACCTGCTGCTATTTCCATTGACATCAAGAGCATCGATGATACGTCCAACTTTGATGACTTTCCAGAGTCAGACATTCTACAGCCAGGTACTGTAAACTGTTTTTGATAATCAACTAAATCTTATGGACATACCTTACCTAAACAAAAATACACACACTTAAAAAAATATTTGAATTTGCATCAAAATTGTGCATTTCCAGATTTAAGGCCTGTTCACACCAGAAACTATATTAGTGTCCACACCACTGGACGATACCGCGGTTATTTTGTCTGCCGCGTTAAATTTGGATAGATTCTGATTTGCTGTCAACTATTTTATCGTTCATGTGATCATTCCTCTGTGTTATTATCGTTAAAGTTGTGGTGTGTACTTTGCTATTTTCTTAGAAATTAGAACCATTTTTTAAAACTTCGCAGTTAAAGTTATTAAAGTTTTCATCCTTGGTGTGAACGGACCTTTAGTCTGATTCAGTGGCCAAGTTAAGTTTGGTTATTGTTTAGTTTGCTTAATACATATAAGTTATGGGTTCTTTCGGAAGTTTTTAGAATAGCGGTTTAGGATATATGAGTAAAATAAGATACAAATATATTCATATTTAAATATATAAATATTATATATTACATGCGTAATCCTGTAAAATGTACTGATTTATTAAGTAGTGATTGACTTATAATAAATGTAGACTAAAATGTATCCATACCTTTAGTGCTCAGGGATCAAGCATCTTTAAGAGTCAAAAGTAGTGGCATTCTATTGATGTATGAAGTCTTCCTGGGAAGTGAACCATTATCTGTTGTCTATGACCTTTAGACTCGATACAGACCGTGTGCAATGGATATAACACACTTCTTTTACATCTACTCGTATATGAACAGATGTAATCCATAAAATAGCTAGATGTATTTCATGTCACTATTTGTTGTTCTGACTGTCCTCTTCACCTCTCATTTCAGTAACAAATGTAACCGAACCAGACTTCAAGTCCAAGGACTGGGTTTTCCTTAACTACACCTACAAACGCTTTGAGGGATTGACACAGCGCGGCACCATCCCCACTTATATGAAGGCAGGCAAGGCGTGAAACTGGCACTGATGGTCTGAAAAAAGGAGGATTAGAATGTAAATGACAATTCAAATGCAGATTTCTGCAGATGAAAAGCTTATGCACTGCCGCTTTGTGCTACACAGTAGAACTGTTCTCAGAGGAGTCCCTGGTGACAATAAAAAGGGGGGAAAAAAGCATAATATTTATATGGCCAAACATATGGAGAGTCTCTCTTGTCCTGCTGCTCAGCTAAAAGGAGACACAAATGTTGTCCAAATGCTCTTCAACACTGGATCAAACAGGGTCAGAGATAAAAAATTTAAAAAAA